TGTGTGTGTGTGTGTGTGTGTGTGTGTGTGTGTGTGAGGGAGTGTGTATGTGTTAATAAATGCTTATTAAACAAACGCAAAAACTTCTAAACCTGTTCTAACGAATGAGAGAAGTTCTGAATCCAGTAAAAGAGGAGAATATCTGCCTCTGAGTCAGAAACTGAAACATCATTTAGCTCCGAGCACCAGACTAAAGAACAATTAGTACAAAACAAACCAAGAAATAAAGGCTGTTACAGAACTTTTTAGGAGCTGTTTCATGTTTTCTGCACATAAACAGACCTGAGCTGGTGTTGATCTGAAGCTCGTCTTAAGGTCTTCGGTCCACAGGCGGCTCCATTAATTGATCCCCCCCACAGACACAACTCCAATTAACTCCCAGTCTGTCTCTAATTCTGACTCTCAGCGGTTTTACAGCCACAAACTCAGTCCTCCCGAGTCAGTCCGGGGTGAAAGGTCCCCAGGCTCATCAAGGGTTCAGGGTAAATGTTTCTGTTTCTGCTTTTAGACGCTTTTATCCAAAGCCACTTACAAAGTAGACACAATTTTACAGTTATCATCCTTTTGATAATACGTTTTCTAGAGGAAAACCCCCAGCCAGAGTCAGAGGAGACAGGAGGAGTAGAGGGTCTAGCTGTTCAAAGCTTTTTTTTGTGGTTTTAAAGCTGTTTTTTGGGGCTTTAAAGATATTTTTGGGGACTTTTAAGCTATTTTTGTGGCTTTAAAACTGTTTGTTGGGGCTTTAAAACGGTTTTTTGGGGCTTTAAAGCAGTTTTTGTGGCTTCAAAGCTGTTTTTGTGGCTTTAAAACTGTTTTTTGTGGCTCTAAAACTATTTTCTGTGGCTTTACAGCTGTTTTTTGGGGGCTTTAAAGCTATTTTTGTGGCTTTAAAGCTGTTTTTTGTGGTTTTAAAGCTATTTTTGTAGCTTTAAAGCTGTTTTTTGGGGCTTTAAAGATCTTTTTGGGGGGCTTTTGAAGCTGTTTCGGGGGCTATTATGTTTCCGTTTCTGCATTTAGACTATGTAAACCAAAGCGACTTACAAAGTAGACACAATTTTACAGTTCTCTGGAGGAAAACCCCCAGTCAGAGTCAGTGGAGACAGGAGGAGATAGAGGGAAGCCCAGAAAGAGGAGTAGAGGGACCATAGGTCTGGGAGGAGTTATGATAGGAGCTGGACTGAGATAGGAGACAGGAGCTGAGACCGGACTTGGATCAATAATGGATCAATAACTTGGATCAGATGGTCCATGTGCAGGTCGATAGACAGATCGGAGACTTGATGTTCAATAAGGTGATAAACGGGTTCAGAGTCTGGCTGTAATGAACAGATCACATCAGACCACTTCAGAACCAATTTTCTGCTTTAAACTCTCTGTAAAGCACTTTGATTTGTCTTGTACACAAGATGTGCTGTAAAATAAACTTGCCTTCCCTAAAGTTATATCTCTAAAAATTATTTTTATGTTACGCTTTTGTTTAACGTGTTTTTCACTACAAATTTGGACCTAAAGAGTAAAAAAAGATGATAAATGTACTACTTTCTACTACTATTTTTTGCTTTTTCATCCTGAAAAAGGTCTTTTAAATTTTTTTTATCAATGCTTTAGTTTGTTTGAGTGTAAATTATTTCCAGTTGTTTCAGATTTTGAAATATTTTCTTCTGATTTTCTCACTAATCATAAAAAAAAACCTCCACAGGATGCGGTTTTTAAACACATTTCACACAGAATAGCTGCAAAACGTGGCCCAAAGACCATAAAAACAGAGCAAATCCTGTCTCCCAGACACTTTAAAACACTATCTTATAGACATAAAGCAGCATTTTGAGCCGATGTTTCTGTTAGACTGTGGAATCGAAGATATTTGGACCCTTCTGGTCGCCCAGTTAATGATGTTTTCTTTCTCCAAATGGAGGGACCCAGGTTTTCCTTTTGGAGGTCTCCATCCTTTCTGGGTCTCCTCCCCTCCCTGTGAGGAACATTAAAGGACTCCTGAACGAAGCGTGACTCGTCTGCCTCTCTCCCTGTGTCTCCACATCGCCGTTGCCACGGCGACGGAGCGGCAGGGATGACGCGCCGTCTCTGGCCTCTATATTTACTCTGTTGCCGTAGCGAGGGCCCAGGCTCAGGCTCCAGCAGAGGGATGCTAAACTTCTGTGTTCATCTCAGTCTGTTAGTGGTTTTTAGCTCTAATTTAAGTATTTTTTTGCTCTTCAGGGAGGCTGTAGACCTCTAAAAGGCCAAAAAAGCGTAGATAATGTAACTGCATTCACTAATGCATCAGTCCTTCTGGTTTCTTTCCGTCCATTACATCTTAAAACATTTAAAAGAAGCCGTCCATTAGGCGCTACTTGAAGACCAGATCCAAAAGTATAAGAAAAATCTGAAGCAGAAATGAACAGGCTTGAGATTTAGGCAAATAATTACCCAGACATATTTGACTTAATGGTCACAGAATAAACTTTTTAAACCTAAAGAAGCTTAAATCCTTTAATGTTCCTCACAGGGAGGGTTAACTACGGTGGTTATGGCAGAAAGAGCCTGTGAAAGGATGGATATCTAACAGATTTTATCAGAAATACTCCACAAATTTGGTGTAGTTGCTAAAAAAGCCTCTTTTCTCTTATCTTTCCTGAAACTGAAGGTGCCACGTAAATAAACTCCACAAGCTCATGAGCTGATTGTGAGAGAGAATATTGATGACAGAGAAAAATCTCTCAATTTATTGTTAGTTTTGTACTGGATACCTACTCTTTGTGGTATATATATGATATATTTCTGTATGTTAATGTCCTCCAACAGGAAGTGTAATTATTGCTTTTATACTGTTATTTAAGTTTCAAAGCACACATCAGTCCAGTTCAGACCAGAACCAGGAAACAAGAAACAAGTCAGTCTAGTTCAGAACCACAGAAAAAAACTAACGACTCAAATCCTGTTTACTTTTCTAACCCGTATCAAACCAAAATAGCCCCAGAGAGTCCTTCAGCTCTGGCAGAGAGGGTGTAAAACCCAGAAGTGTTTCCCTCCAGCTGTGGGCCTCTTTTTCCCTCTCAGCTCTCTGAGACGGGAAGATTTCTGCTCCGCTCAGGCCTTCAGACAGCTGTGATTCAAAAACCAATCAGGAAAACACTCCTCACGCTCACATGGGAGAAGCAGCCCTGATTGCTTTCATTTGTTTCAACCAGCCGGTTTCTTATGTTCTTTTGAGGAAATGAAGTGTAATCAACTTTTAGATACGTACCAGCTTTCAGTCGTTTATTTCCTCTGGATTTCACCTTTGCATTTAGTATAAAAGACAGAAGTCTCTCTATCAAATCGAGTCATTTCTTGTATTTATCATTAATATCATTATAGTTTTATTCATGAAGAACTATCTGAAGAACTACATTTCTCAGAGTAAAAGGAAAATAAGTCTGAACTAACCATCCAAACCCCTGTCTGAGGGAAATTCAGAAAAGACCTGATGAGGCCTCTAATCTAAAATTAGCATTTTTCCAGCTACTTGGAGACAGTGTCCAGCATCTTATGCAGGATCGATTCAGTGGGCTGAATTTAACTATTTAAAGCAGAAGAAATGAGAGTATATGGCTTTAAAAACTTGTCGGACCAACAAAGATGAGATTAGGAGATAAATGCTGCTCTTCTGGAGCATAAATTGATCACAGAATATCACTGAGACAGAAAATTATTGAGGATTTTTCCAATGTATCAGGATAAAGATCAGTAACGCCACAAGACAAATTGGTGGAAATGGTCATAAATGAGAGCCTTAGTCTGAAATATTTAGATATTAACCCTATAATGCCAAATGTTTTGCGTCTGACTCCTTTTCCATAATTTAATGGTAAAAACTTTGCTCAAAATCCTATTGTACACAATCAGATACACCTGATAACAGGGGGCAGAAGACTACACAAAAAATAATCTTGACTTATCGTATAGTAATAAATTATTAATATTAAAAATGTATTTCTGTTTTTTCTTTTTTCATATTTTGTTAAAAGGCCAAATGAGGAATTCAAACCAAAAAAACGAAATTTTCTTTTTTGTTTTATTCTTGGATCAGGCTTTAAAGGGTTAAGATCAGAACAGTTCTGTGTCTCCGTTATTCACTCTGTACCGTGTGGATCCTTAAATATCTGCTAATTGGATTTGTTTTGAAGCATCTCCACCTCTTCCCCAGACAGAGGAGGGTTTTGTTAGTCCTACCTTTGGGTTGAGGACCAGCTGCTGCTCATTAAAGTGCAGCAGGGCCACGGAGTTGGACTCGGAGTTGTTGACAAAGATCTGCAGGCAGGGGTAGAGAGAGGTGCCCTTACAGTCCGCCCCACAGGTGAACACACACTCGAACATCTCCTCCGGACGCAGCACCGACACCACCTGAGGGAGGAGGAAAAACACAGAGAGAGATAAAAACCCGCTTTCCCAATGTATTCTTTTTGTTCTGAAGATTTGCCTTGGCGCCGAAAAAAAAGGCCGCCTCGGTGTTTTGGTGCAATGCTGGGCACCAGACACCAAAGCAAATTCCTTGTATGTGAAAACCTACTTGGCAATAAACCTAATTCTGATTCTGATTCTGATTCTGATAAAAACCCGCTCTGGAGGCTGCTCCCTCTCCCACCAACAGAGGCAAAAAGAGGCAAAGCCAGCAGCCAGGACAGACCGTTCCAGCTCCTGGACCTGGGAAAAGCCCAGTTTATCAGCACCGGACAATTTATAGACAAGAAGAAGAGGAGTTTCACAAAGGAAATAAGGCTAAATGGATTCATCTGAAATATAAATGAGGGTGAAGAGATGAGGGTTTTGTGTCGTTAGCCCCAGAATTATAACCCCAACCCTTCACAAAGTTGCTTAAAGCCATTATCAGGCCAATTATTTAATTGTTTCAGTGTGATTAGTTAAAGTAACCAGTTCTTAATTTATTTGTTTGTTTATAGACAACAGGGTCTCGAAAAGAGCTTCACGAAGGCAAAATGAATAAATCTGAAGGATAAATGAGAGTGAAGAGATGGGGGTCTGTGTTGTTAGCCCCAGAATTATAACCCAAACCCTTCACAAAGTTGCTTCAAATCAGTATTAGGCCAATTTTTCCAGTTAAAGTAAGCAGTTCTTAATCTTTTAGTCAGTCTTCTAGGTTTAATACAAGGTTATTTAACATTTAAAATGGAGCTGATGGCTGCAGATTTAAACAGTAATAGAGCAATTCTGGGTTTCGAAACAAGGATAAATAAGTGAAAAATCCATAACCCCAACCCTTCACAAAGTTGCTTCAAACCATTATCAGGCCATTTGTTTCAGTGTGATCAGTTAAAGTAACCAGCTCTTAATCTATCTGTTTGTTTATAGACAACAGGATCTCAGAAAGAGCTTCAGAAAGTAAATAAGGCTAAATGGATTAATCTGAAGGATAAATGAGGGTGAAGAGATAGGGGTCTGTGTCTTTAGCCCCAGATTCATAACTCTAACCTTTCTCAAAGTTGCTTCAAACCATTATCAGGCCATTTGTTTTAGTTTGATCAGTTAAAGTAAGCAGTTCTTAATCTATTAGTCAGTGTTCTAGTTTTAATAAAAGCTTATTTAACATTTAAAATGGAGCTAATGGCTGCAGATTTAAACAGTAACAGAGCAATTCTGGGTTTGGAAACAAGAATAAACAAGAGAAAAATTGACATTCTGCTCCTAAAATGTTGTCAGAACCTGCCTGGAAAAATCAACTGTAGATTAGCATGTGTGAACCTTAAATGAGGAAAGATGGAAACACAAGAGATGAGCCATCAAACATAATCCCAATAGAGTTTAGAAAGCTGCAACACAGCAAATGATTGCAGATTAAGTTGAATTCGGCCATGAAAAAGTTTCTCTGATCTCATTCACAAGGCTCTGGAGAACAGATTGAAAACAAACAGGCAAAATCACTTTAGGACATTCACCCAGGATGATGCAATAAGCTAAATTAAGCCCCATAAATCAGGCTGGTATTCATCATTCATCACAGGGAAACTCGCAGAGGCTGGGAAATGCTGCACACACAGTTTAAATGCTCCACAGTGGAAAGCAGGAGGAGACCGGACAAACTTAAGGTGGACAAATCCGCTTTGTATCGACAACCACAAACATTAAAATAACTCATGTTTGGATTTCTGTCCAAACTAAAGATCACCTTTAATGCTGCCGACTGAGAACAAGAACAACAAGAAAGCTGCTTCCACCAATATTCGACAGGGAGTTTTAACAGAGATTATTCGAAACAAAAACCCCTAAAACAGGGGTCTTCAAGGTTTTCCAGGCCAAGGATCCCCTAATTATATATATATATCATCAGACAGTTCACAGGCAAAGATAAATAATTAGCTAAACAAATCTGTATATTAAAGCAAAACTCCATGGTTTTTACTTTGGCCATAAAACACCACCTACACTATTCAAGATGAGGCATCTCAAATTAATTTAACATTATAATCTATAGAGAAGTCACTGTGTAAACAATGAAAATAAATACTGATATTACAGATGATTTTTTATGCTAATGCTACAACTTGAGGTTTAAAAATTTGTTCCAAAGTCATAAAATGAATATAAATGTGACTATTTTTAAACCAATACATCTCAATCTAACTTCGAAATCCAGTTTAGTCCATTTCAGCTCCATCTTTCCTCATTATGATCATATTACCAGTTTCCAAATCCATCTACTTTTACAGAATGAGATCAAATTGTATTAATCATTACAGTTACACAGGTGTGTTTGCACAAATAATTTCCCTTAAGGACTTTCCAGAATCACTTTGGAGATGACTCTGCTTATTTCTGTGTTTTAAGGCTGAAACCTCATTTTGTTAGTGAATAATCCGTCAATTCTCCTCAAACTTAGTCATCAGTGAGTCAATAAAATGCCAAATAACTGTGTCCTCAACTACGTCCTTATGTTTTACCATTAAATCCTAAGATTGGAACGTAATAATGCTAAAAACTACTAAACAGAGAAGCTATAATTGCATTACTTGCAGAATTGTTTCTCTATTAAAAAACAGTTTTAAGTGTAGCTGAGCAGAAAAACTCATCTTTACTTGTCTTCAACCAACCATCACCATTCTTTATAAAGTAAAAACCAATTGGACTGGGATCCCTGCAAATAAAACCATGTTGTTTAGCTGTAGTATTCTTAAATTAGCTGCTCTTTAAAGTTTATTTGATGTTGTTTTTATAGTTTTTAGAGAGAATAAGTCACTGAAATTTCTGATTAAGAGACTTAGCATCCTAAGATCCTGCTTCAAACTCTACTTAATCATTTTTTCTGCTGCAAAAGTTAAATTAAAACGAATTTAGCACTAAATCGTTCAGTTAAAAAAACGGATCAAATAACTAATCGTATCGATCCTGACGCGTTCAGACGACTTTCTTTTTAGGAGGGCTTCTGCAAACGAGCTAAAACAACGCAACAACTCACAGTGCAATGAGCGCTATGAGAAAAGAAAAACCGTAAAAGTTGAGAAGCGGCGGCTGTGCGCGCGTCCGCGGCTGTGCGCGTGGCCGCGGCGTGGGCTCGCGCTCACCGTGCAGTTGGCCGGTTTGCTCTGGAGGCTCTGCAGCGTGGGGCTGAGCCAGCAGAAGCCCAGGATGAAGAGGCTGAGGATCCCGCAGGCGATCAGGAACAAGCCCAGCCGGATGCTCTTGTCCTCGGCCTCCGAGTACTCGTAGGACACGCGCATCTTCGCCATGGCCGCCGCGCGCACCCTCCGGAGGCATGGAGGAGGGATGGAGGGATGGAGGAGGAGGGATGGAGGAGGAGGAGGAGGAGGGGCTGCAAGTGAAAGCCTTCTGCTGCTGTCAAACTGTTGAGTTTAATCACGACTGCTCTCTGTGTCTGACTCCCGTTCATCTCCCTCACGCGCCCGCCTCCCTCCCTCCCTCCCTCCCTCCCTCATCCCTCCATCCTCCCTCTCTCTCCACACCCCCATCCCTCTGGCATCAGTCCGTCCTCGGCTTTCCACATCCTGCCCCTCTCCCCTCCCATCCCCACCGTTTCTCCGGCAAGAGAAAGTTTTTACAGCTTTTTTTCTGTCACTTCTGGCAGTTTTGTGTCTTTTTTTCAGTTTTTTCATGTGTAAATTAACAAGTTAATGGCTGCTTTTTTACATGTTTTCGGTTATTTTTCACCTTTAATATGAAACTGGGTGCAAAGATGTGCTGGTAAGGAGTAAAGTGTTATTTCTAAATGTTGACTGAAAGACTCAATATGTAAATTAGACGAGCACAGTCAACAGTGCACTTCAAAGGAAATTATTGGGACTTTGTGAGGACAAATTTGACAGTTTGAGGTTGGATTGATGTAATCCAGTGAGCAGAATACATAAAAAACTGAAACATATTTCTAAATCTGCACTCGGTTTCTCGCTCCAACAGCAGCTGCTTCAGTAAATGGGGTCGAGTTGTCATCAAGTTCTGCAGAAGCCTGAAAACGACCCACTTCCTGAACCATGTGAGTTGGTGCAAGAAAGTATACGCAGAGAAAGTATACGCAGAGAAAGTATATGCAGAGAAAGTATATGCAGAGAAGACGGTTTATAAGACAAGACTGCTTTCTGAGGTGGAGCTCTGAGTTAATATACTGTAGGTGGAAGTAAAGAGTTAGGGGCAAACCAAAGGGGGCTCTGGTCCGTCCTGCTGGGGGCTATGGAGGTCACCTGGGGGGGTTCATGGTGGTTAGCAGCTAAATGACCAAAAATAAGTAAAAGAAGCTGCAAAACAATGAAAAATAATAATAAGAAAAAAAACAGCTAAACACTGAAAAATAAGCTTAAAAAAGCAGAAAAACAAACAAAAATAAGTAAAAGAAGCAGCAAAACAATAAAAAATAAGTGAAAGAAGCAGCTAAACAATTAAAAATAAGTAAAATAAGCAGTAAAACCATGAAAAATAATAAGAATAAACAGCTGAAAAATAAGTTTAAAAAAGCAAAAAAACAACCAAAAATAAGTAAAAGAAGCAGTAAAATTATGTAAAATAAGTGAAACAAGCCGAAAAACAACCAAAAGTTGGTTTAAAAAAAAGCAGCAAAACAACGAAAAATAAGTAGAAAAGCCAGCAAAACGATGAAAAATAAGTAGAAAAATCACAAAACAATGAAAAATAAGTAGAAAAAGCAGAAAAACAACGAAAAATCTGTGAAAGAAGCAGATAAACAACCAACAATGGTCCTCCTCTGTGTCTCCTTTCTTTGACTCACCAAGTGGAGGATGGCATCCACCTGTACTTTAGAGAGTTTTCCCCCAAAAAATAAAAAGATAAAGATAAGCTCTAGAGAAGTCAAAGAACAGGATCCTCACACCGTTCATAGTCCTATTACTGCTATCATTATCATTACTATCAAACATTTGGACTGGAACCAGCTCCCACTGCGTCATTCCCCTCTAAGAAGAGGAAATATCTTTAAATATCTTTAGTTCTCAGTGCTAAGAGGGAGGCCTATGTGAGAAAAACCTCTGTGCTGAGGCTGACTGATCCTCGGCTTCTCCAGAGACCCGATCCAATCCAGATTTGAGTTTCATTCTGTTACAAGCTGGAGGAGATAAGCCTCTTAGGGACCAGAGGACACGTCAGCCACGTCCAGAGATCCTCTCCCATGGACACCTGGTTAGCATGAAACTGACCAAAACGGGTCAAAACGTGCTGTTGCTTTTGAATGTTTCTGGATTTAAACTTTAGGTATTTCAACCAGATGTTGGATGGAAGATATGGAGAAAAGAAAAGGAGCATCATGGACTCTTAACAGCAACTTTCATCAGCTGAACTGGTAAAAAGGGTCTGACTTTTTTAGGTTTCTTTAACCCTTTAAAGCCTGATCCAAGAAAAATAGGAAGAATATTGGATTTTTTGGGTCTGAAGTCTTTCTTTGGCCCCTCAATAACATATGAGGAAAAAAAACTGAAATTATTTTGATCAAATTAGCGTGCAATAAGTCAGAAATCTATGTTGGTGTAGTCTTCTACTGGCTGTTATCAGGTATATCTGAATGTGTACAACAGGGGTTTGAGCAAAGCTTTTACCACTGAATGATGCAGAAAGTCTCAGATCCAAAAGAAACCGGATCAGATATGACACATTTGGCTTTATAGGGTTAAACCCCCCTGTGAGCCAATCAGGTGCTCAGCTTTATTAAGGTAATGTTTCTTCCCTCTACAGGTGATGACGCATTTAAAGCTTTCAAAGAAAAGCTCTCAGAGCCCTAATCCCTCAAACATTTTAAGAATGAGGCTAAAATGAGAAGATTTAAGGGGAAAACGTGGATGTGATGACACAATTTGTCCCCACTTTCCTTTCATCTCCTCAGAGTGCCGTTCGATTGCTGGTAAAGATGCAACCAGCCTCCCAAAACTGTCTCCAAGTACCAAACGATCAATAAACCGGCCGAGGTGTATTGATTTCTGTTCCTTTCAGTGGGCAGAGAGGAGTCTGGAGGGTGTAAAAACAATAAACAGAGCCTCCAGACAGAGCTGAGACAACAGCAGAGGCTGAGGGGAAATGTGATGAAAACCTCGACAACTCTGTCAACAACTGCCACAAAGCAGGGTCTGGATATATGGACTTTTCTAGTCCTTTTTGAGGCTCGTAACTCTAAAAAATCACTCTGATCTGGAGCTAAATGACATGTTAGTGTTGGTTGTCAGTCGTCCAGACAATCCTCATTTTAGGAAATTGAGGAAAGGCCAATGAACACCAGGAAAATTAAGATAATTCAACTTTGGAGAGCAGAAACTTCTGAAAAAGCTGACCTGTGTTGTCATTACTGTGAACACACAGTCTGACACTAATACTCCTAAAGGTACCTGTGAAGGTCCTCAGTCATCCCGGTCATAGTCCAGCTTTGAGAGTCCAGTTATCTAGATGGAGGTGAGGTTTGTCCTCTGATCCAGAAGCTTCTTGAGCTCTAATGATGGTGGAGCTCTGAGTTAATATACTGTAGGTGGAACTAAAAAATTAGGGGGAAACCAAAGGGGGCTCTGGTCCCTCCTGCTGGGGGCTATGGAGGTCACCTGGGGGGGTTAATGGAGGTTAGCAGCTAAACGACCAAAAATAAGTAGAAAAGCAACCAAAAATTTGTGGAAAAAGCAGAAAAACAATAAAAAATGAGTGGAAGAAGAAGCAAAACAATAGAAAAAAAGTAGAAAAAGCAGCAAAACAACCAAAAATTACTAAAAGAAGAAGCTAAACAATGGAAAATAAGTAGAAAAAGCAGCTAAACAACCATAAAATAAGTGGAAGAAGCAGCTAAACAACCAAAAAATAAGTACAAAAAGCAGAAAAATAACGAAAAATTAGTGAAAGAAGCAGCAAAACAATGAAAAATAAGCAGAAAGAGCAGAAAAACAACCCAAAATTAGCAGAAGAAGCAGCTAAACCTTCCAGGTGATGCTAGCCTGTCTGCCTCAGCCTGTTGCATAAATGAAAAACACTGACCGGCTCCAGAGCAAAGGCCCAGCTCTAGCACTAGTAATCAGGGAGGCATGTGGCAGGATTATCATCATCTCTGCAGATCAAAAGATTACAAATGATAACGCACATCAGAGCGAAAGAACACGGCCACCACACAGCAAATATCTCCCATCAGAGGGAAAAAAAGGATCCCAGGGTAAAAAAATAGATAAAAAATGTAGGAGAGTGGACGGTGGATGAGAGCTGGACTTTCAGGAAGCCAAAAAAAGGCCAAAAAATGATGCGATTAGCCGGGAAAAACTCCCCCAGTCTGGAAAATCTGTCATTATGGAGGCGACAGCCGCCTCTCAGAGCTGTAGTCTGCAGGTTTTAACAATTTGTTATGTCTCATGCTGAATACAAGGCGCTTATTAAACTGTCAAAGGCGTCCCAGCTTCTTTGAACACACACTGTCCTTTAGTTTGTGGCTTTTCGGTGAGTTTTGTTGTATCATCTTTTCCCTTTAAACAAATAAAACCTTTATATATTCTTTATAAAACCATAAAAGCATCAGGGTACTGAATCTGTTCTGAACACAACCAGGAAAAAACACTTGTCTCTAGCTGACAAAAGGCAATTTATAAAAAACATTTACAATGTTTAGATCTTAGGTCTTAGATTCTAAAGATCCACTTTAAACTGCAGATACTGGTTTGCTCCCTTTTTTCCCCAGATTTCTCTTTAAGCTGTTGAGTTTATCTGCATGATTAACGACATGCTTGTGTGATCGTGATAAACTGGGTGCAGAGACTATGGAGAATTACAAATAGAAAACCCTATTCATCACCTGGGCAGCATGAAAACTGAATATTTTAAAGCCTTTCCCAGATTTAAAGGCATTTCAAGCTTGAAATACGTGTTTATCTTTGTGCAGAAGGACTTTTCTTACCTCCCTGGAGGGAAAAATCCAAACAAAGTTGTACTAAGTGATCAAATTAATCTGTTTTCTGTCTTTCTGAGCTGTTCAGATTCATTTTAACTGGAAATACTGTGGATTATGCAGATAAAAACCAAAGAAAAAACATTTTTGCTTCTCCTGTGGAAATTGCAGCTCTCTCAGAACAACGTCTGTAAGAGCTCAATATGTCTGAACCCTCTAAATATTGTATTAAATTACCCGTAATTGCTATAAACAAAGACACCTTTAAAGACTCATCAATCAGCTTCTGCAGATGACTGATGACAGGGTTCACAAACATGGAGAAACTAAAACTAAAAGCTTTCAATAAAGGCCATAAACAAAGACCAAATCAAGAAAAAGGAGCAAAAACTCCCCCATCTGCATATAAAAGTGGATTTCTGCCTCTCCAGATCCACAATAAACATCGAGTCATGACCTCAATCCAAGCTAACGTTTCTCTCCTCTAAAAACAGAAAAGAGAAAAAGAGTTTGGTGGCATTTTGTGGCTTCGATTGCTTTGCTGCTTTAATAAAAGAAACGAGCTAATTAGCAGATAGTGAGGTTTTAAATTCCCACATTCGCCCCCTCACTTTCACACTCTGCTGCTTTTTTAGATTACTTTGAATAGTTGCCTGAACAACAGTCATGTAACAGAGTCCTGGATACGTTCTCCTCCCCACACGAGGAACAAAACAGAAAGGAAAAACTCCATTTTGAGCCACTGGTTTCCCACTGAGAGACTCAGAAGAGGCCTGGTTAGTTTGGAAGTATCTTCTCAGGTTTTGATCTCCATCCCCTCCTTCATTAATCTCAGTTTATTGTGTTTGTTTACCTCCTTTAAAGGCGTTTGTCCTCCAGGTCTGAGTTTCCTCTGAGCTTCATTTTCTCCATTCAGCTGCTGGAAAGACAGTGAGTTTGTTTATTCCAGAAGTAATCCTGAAAACAGATCTGAGACCAGACAATCTGAAGGAGATCTTACAGCTTTGCAGATGGATTACAGCCAATAACAACAGCTCCTTCAGGCTAAGGCGTCCTTTGGATCATGGCGCCCTCCGATGGACAAAAACGGAAACACATGAAAGGATCATCATCAGTTCTGAGGGCTGGTTTTAAATCTAAAACTATAGATGACAGCTGGGACTATTCAAAAGAGCTGGATTAAAAGATAACAGTCTGAGAAGGAAGAAAGAGCAGGTGTAAAAACGATTGAATCAAGTTAGATTTTTACCAATAAAAGATCAGAGAAACAACAAACTGTGGCTGGTTTGACGATTTTTCATATTTCATATTTCAGCATCTTCCTGCCTGAAAACTGGAAATCACACACAGCCGAGGACTCTGAAATGTTTCATGTTGATCATCCACTGCGAAACTGATTAAGATGTAATATAAAAGATGTAAAATAAAGATAATTAGTCACAGATTTGTTTCAGAAAGGTCAAACAGATCTAATCTGGTTCATATCTTTTCTGTAGAAAATCTGAGGAGTGACAGGTTTTCTACCATAAAAATAGGAACCACTTTAGATCAGTCAAAGAAAAGCAAACTAATTTAAATCAGGCATATTAGACTCCTTCAGGTCTTTTTCCAAACAGTCTGAGGACATTTTCTGAGGTCTAATTTATATCCATGGCAGAAACATTGATCAAAATACCTTTAAAAATAATGAAAGATAGACCAGGTAGACCCAAAAAAGCCTCCAAATCTATATAGAGATACATTTAAATGTATTTATCTCTTGGTTCCAGTGGGAAATGGTTTAGCAGGTGGCTGTAAGCTGGCAGTGGAGGTACAGCATAGTTTGATTAGCTTCTGCTGGTTATTTCCACCATTTACAGCTTTCATTGGTGTCCAACACTTTATTTAAGTGTTGTTTCACAACTTAAACTGTTATTTTGCATTCTTAAAAAAATCACAAATGTGAAATTTCAATTCTGTAGCTTTTTACACATGTAAATGACAATATTATGTATGCATATTATACCTACCCTTCCAAAAATGGATATGAACTATATTTTTAAAGATGACATCAGTGTGAGAATCTTTCCCAAAACAGGAAGCCGAAGCGTTTCCAGTCCTGCAAGACAAGACATTTCACAAACACACAAAACCACCAAACAACCAAACAACCAATAACCACTCGGGACTTGTTGCTTAGTTTCATTACCAGAATATTTATTTTATTCTTTTTCCTATTAAAACACTAGCTGCCATATTTAATAAAACAGCCAACGGCCAAGTGCCTCAGTCCTCCTCCTCCAAACAAGTCTTCTTAGACGGGTCACATGGGTCTGTGGGCGTGTCCTTGGCTTGTTGCTGGGCCCGGTTGTCGTGGCGACGGATGCTGCTGCCATGGCAGGCAGGCGTCGTCGAGCGTGGTCCCATGTGAAGCGCCTCGGGGGTTTTGGTGGTCTCAGGAAATCGAATTACGCTGGCGGACAGCAGAGGAGGGAAAGTCTCCTCGGTCGAGTGAATCAGTGTCGTTTGGTTTGAACTATTTCGGAAATTCCTGCTTTAAAATCGCGCTGGAGCACCCTGGAACCTCCTGGAAGGACTTTAAAATGACGGGAATCAACACGGAAGCCTTTCAGTAAAGGCTTTTTGGTGGATTTTGAGTTTTTGTGAAGTAAAAACCGGAAAAGAAAGGTTTCGTTTTACCTCAGGGAACATATTTTGTTTTCTTGCTGAGAGTTGGATCATTAATACTTTTATTTCTGGCCATAAAATCCCAGCTAGCCTAGCTTTGCGTGAGGACTGGAACATGGGAAAACCAGCTCTCGGGCTCTTTATATTGTGAATCCATCCAATTAAGGCATTTTTAGCTTTTTCAAGCTGTTTGAAAGTGTAAAAAAAGATTACAGGACATGTACGTTCAGAAGTGAGCGACCTTTCCAGCTGCAGAGGGATCAGTTCGCCCCCTCTGGACAGAACCAGGCTAACACTTTCCCCTTTTTTCACGATAAGCTAGGCTAGCAGGCCTCTGGCCGTTAGCATGAACTTCTCATTCTCAGCAAGAACAACAAAGATCGGAGTGGATCTGACTGTCACCAGAAGGAAAATGATATACAAACAAATTAAATAAATGAAAGAGAATTATGTTTGGGATTCAAATAATAGGAGGTGTAGCTAGAAGAAGCTGTAACATTGGGAAAATGATGGAAAGCAGAAACGAAAAAGCAGTGGATGGAAACTGAGAGGAAGTCTGATGAAGCTGTGCTGGTATTTGAGATTTAGCATGACGAGGGAGACAGAAATAAGTCTGACGGTCTTTCCGTGACCCTGAAAAAGTGCTGCTAATGTTGGATGTAATTACAGATTCATGTGGTGTTCTCTGTCTTTTCATTGTCAACAAACAAACCAAAAAGTGAAGGTAAAGCTGAAAGCAGCCGGCTGTTTTTGTCGGTTCTGTTTGGTCTGCCTTCTCCCTTCAGGCAGAGCGAGTTTTACACCTACAGAGGGACATTTGTTTCTATTTCTATTTGTTTCTATTAATAGCTATTTAGTCCGTTTGACTTTTTATAACACTGGTCAATGTTTACCAATCTGCTCCTGATTCCTGGTTGATTACAAACAACAGGAAAAGCTGTTTTATGACATTATAAAGCCATTAAAAAATTATTTGGTGCCTTGAATAAGAACTAAATGATGGGGAAGTCAATGCTTTAAAGGATGTATAAATACACTGTTTGGTTTGGGGCGGAAAAATGTTATTTGTTGACAGTAGAAAAGACATAAAAAAGGCAGAAGCCATGTTGTTAATCCAAATGATGCAACTCGGTGCAACTTGGAGAAAGACTGTAATGTGAAACACAGGATGTCCAAACACGTTCAAATAAAAATACCACTTTTCTGGGTCGACTTCTCCACTTAACTTCAACAAACCAAAAAAATATATATATTTTTTCTTTTTTATTATGAAATAGTGCTACAATGTACATTGCATTTTTCTCCTGAATGTCTGCTGTCTGATGATGTGTGTGCGGATGCGAAATGCTGGAAAATCCTGGTAAAAACGAGAGATATTTTCAATTTTTTGCCAAAAGTCAGAGTGGTGTGATGCAGGGAGAAATAACTATCCATCGAAATCAGGGATCAAATCCTGTGTTAAAATCTGGTTCATCTTAAAAGCTCCTCTAGACAAAAATATTCAAATCTTAAGACTGAGTAGAAACAAGAATCCCTCCATCAGATGGACAGTTATTTACAGTGCCGGCCTCTGAGTGTAACCCATGGAGGAGAAGTGGGAATAAAATAACAAAAAGGGAAATGAGGTAAGGAGCAAACGTAAATCAGAAAAAGTTAAAATGAGAAAGTCTATCACAGATGTGGACAGGAGCGAGGTCGTCCTCTCCTGTCCCGAGTCCTTACAGGCCAGATTCGTTTGAGTGTGCTGAGGTGGAAAAACCTAGAGGGGCGATGACCGGTGAGCCAGGAGGGCCAATGGCAGGCAGGCAGCAGGAGGGGAGCCAATCAGAAGGCCTGCTGGGCAGGATTGTAGTTGAAGGTGGAGGGAACATGAGGTCGTTCTTCTAGTTTGTCGTATTCCAGATGAAACTCCTGAAAACGAGGCAGGAAAATAAAGCCGCTAAATCAGTTTGGCTAATACGAAGAGAGATATTTTTCCACTTTTTTTTTTTAATTTGTTGCCCTGAGAAAGATCAAAGGAATAAAGCCTCCACATGAGTTCCAGTAAATCCATAAAACCGGGTAAACTCTGGGATGGATTTAAGAGAAAGGAGGTCAAAGATTTAAGTCGGTTTCAGTAAATCACAACATCTTTTTTTGAGAATGGAAACTAACTTTGGGCTAAACCAGGGGTCAGCAACCCAAAATGTGAAAGAGCCATATTCGACCAAAACAACAACAAAAAAATGGAAAGCCTTATAATGAAGGGAACACCTGCTGTATGTATCTATATGAGCTTTATTACAAAACCATCAAAATGACTACTTTGGCTACAAATTTCAGTATCGATCACACGACTCATCACAAAATTGAATTAAAACAAAAACTATATTTCCTTCCCCCATGTTTTTCCATTTCCAAACATTTTTGAAAAAGCTCCAGGGAGCCACTTGGTTGCCGACCCCCCAGGCTAAACAGACCACATTAGGCTTTCCTCATTCCTCTGAGGGCTTCATTCAGATCTGATCCAATAAGAGAAACCCAAGTGTGTGTTCTCACCTTCGCCACCTTCCTCCAGTTGAGACAATCGAAGAAGTAGTAGGTCCCTCTTTCGTAGGCGTTGGTCTTCAGCGTGGGCTCCATCCCCGGAGCCCGGGTGATCCAAACCCGCTCCTCTTTATGGTACCTCCAGTCCCTGTTAAAGCTGGAGACACACAGACAAGTTCGCTTCTGAAAGCCCTGAATGCTAAAAAGCCTGGTTAAACGGGCCGGAGAGGGAATAAAAATAAGAATATGAGGGGGTGAATTATGTCTGTCTTACAGCTCTACTGCAGCCAGTAGTTGTAGTAGGTCTCCTCCGTTCATATAGTAAAGATAAAACAGCAGATCTTCCCCGTATCGAGATAACTTGATAGCTGCTAACTGTAAACATAAAAGAATGAAGTCAGGTTAATCTCCATGAATTTCTCCATTGGTGAGATCAATAAAGTCTTCTTCTTCTAATCAAAATCAAAATTATGACCACAAACAGGGAAGTTTTCAGAACGACTCGGTCCAACACAATGACAAGCTACAATCTTATTTAAACACTGAATTAAGTCAATAACAGATCAATATGTGAATCGGTATTTGTCATTCGTACCTTGTCCCTTATGTGGATGTTGGTTAAATACTCTGAGGGAACGTGGAAGTCTGAAAAAGAAGGAAAACGTAGCTGAGACCAAAGTAAATGCTTATAACTGCAGTGTGGAGCTTTGGCCACAAGGGGGCAGAAGAGCTCCATAACAGACACAAACAGTGACGGGTATCATGTAAATAAACGTGTAATTCATAGCAGACAATAACATTATAGTGGCGTTTGGGTTTAATTTAGGCGTTCTAAAACCAAAGATGGTCAACATTTACAAATAAACTCACCGATGTCCTGCGGCCGACATGGAGCCGACGCCCAGGGAGACGCAAACTTAGGATAAAGATTCCTAAAAGACACAAAATGAACCATGTTTCTGTTCTTATTCTAATGTTTTCACATTTTAAAGCAGATTCAACAGTAAAAAACATTTTGCTGTTTGCAAATCAGCTTCTATTCCCATCAAACAACACTGATCTTAATTGCATTTTCCTTTAACTTTTCAACTTAGGAAGACGTTTAATCTCCTTGTTTTTTATTTCTACATAACCTTTGATGTCATCTAATCGTAACCACCCAGTAACCGGGTCCCAGGTGAGGCCAGAGGACTGTCTTTAACTGTTCTCCACTCATAAACTGTCTGTATTTTAATGGCGTTTTGTGGTAAAGATGAAGGCTGGGTGGGCAGCCATCTTACTCTGGTGAGTTCAGGTTGAGGCCGAGTGTTGTGAGGTCAGATCCCAACGCCAGGTGGACCATGCCGGGGTCCGTCTCCGCCGCCCGGATGAACGTCAGCAAGCCGATCATCCCAAACTGGTCCGTTACCATGCCAACGGGGATGTTGGTCACACGCCCTGACGCACACAGACACACAAATGGGCGCTTTAAGGCATCTGCTACACAAAAAAAAGGCGTGATTTTTGTCCAAATACAAGAAAAACGGACCAGAGAATAAAAAGCTCTGATAGTAAAACTAGTTATGATAGTTCTTTAATAGCTTTATTTTTTAACAGCACAATCCCACTGCATCCTGTGGACCAATCAGAGGAGGAGAGACATGATAATATAGGACTCAGTGTTAGTTCCACCACATCTCTGTTAAAACAGCCTCTGAAACGTTTGAGAAATTGTGAGAAATGTAAGTAAAAACCATGTGTTTATCAGAAAGGAGGTGAACTTGAGTGGGAAGGAAGCAGAGATGATGTAACAATTATTGGCTGTTTGACAGATTTGTGTTGATTTTATTGTATAGATCTGAACAACAGTTTTATCCAGCCCTAAATTCTTTATATAACACCAGGACTCTGGTGTTTGGAAATTGTTTTGAAACAATACTGTGAGAAAATAAGGAGTAAAGAGCTTGTAAAGTTCAAGTATTTTTGTTCCTCAAGTAAAATACCCGTCAGAAAATATACTTAGGAGCACTTTAGAGGGTTAAGAAGGGCAGAAACGAGGCTCATCAGGACTGTAATGGTTTCCTTCTGTTATCTGTTATTCTGATTGGTCTTCCTCACCGTCGGGAAGCACCTGAATCCCTTTCTTCTGCTGGTTGTTGTTGCTGGGGGCGGAGCTCTTGTCGCCAGGAAACTTTGGACCGTCTGAGCTGGAGGTGGACTTCCCTGATGAGTTCAGATTCTGATGGACGAAAACAGCAAAATGCCAGATGATGTAACAAATAAAGAGAAAAAGAAAAGAAAAGGAAAGAGAGGAAGAATAAAAGGAGCAGCTCGGACCGTTTTGCTGTCCTCGTTGGTGCTGGTGGGGTCTTTTGTCTGGTAGTTGGGTCCGGGGAGAGCTGGGAAGTCTTCGTTATGGATGGAGAAGTCCTGCGACTGCTCACTGGACGGCTTGGTTACCATGCCAACTGGAAGAGAGGATCAATGAGGATCAATGATAACATTTAAGGACACATCAGCAGGATCTAAGCCACTCGGTGGACACGGCTTTTATCAGGTTTCTCTTGACCTTTAGGATTAAATGCAGGTCTTTGAACTAAACTAAAACCTTTTTTATCATATTTAAGGCCTCAAATCTCAGTTTTCAGCTGTGAAACCTGAGCAGGCGCACGCCAAAAACTCAACTTTTCTTCACTGTGAGAGGATTTTTGTTAAGTTTAGTTGGCAAACATTTACAAAAGAATACATTTAAAGGTTTGTGTCGTTACCTGGAAAAATAGTAACACTACTTTGCTGCATTTATGTAGAATTTTCTTACATCCAAAGTGACATTTGATCAAATATTCGACTCGACACCCAAAGTAAATTCCCAACACGTCGAAGTTATAGAAAAAAATAACAATAAAATAAAATTTTAATTGAATAAAAAGTTAATTTTAAGATAATTTGATGCAAGTTTTTTATTTTTATCAGAACATTAAACATTAAAGCACATAAAAATAGATGCTGAACATTGACAGAAAGAAATTCCCACAGAAATAAACAACAAAGACACAAAAATTTTATACGATGTCGAAGTCATAGAAAAAAATATACAAAATATAAACATTTAATAAAAATTGATAATCAAAGTTAGTTTTGTATGTAAGTTAGATGTTTTTTAAATCTGAAAAATAGAAAAAAATATATATATATAAACAAAATTTAAATAATAAGCTACGTTAGTTTTAAGTTAACGTAATGTAAGTTAGGTTTGTTTTAAATCTGAGAAATAGAAAAAAACAAAAAAAAGTCAATAAATATAAATGAGCTAAGTTAGTTTAAAGTTCCTGTAGTAAAGTCTGAGTAAGTTAGGGTTGGTCCTGTATCTCAGTCTCTACCTGCCAATAAAACCCCTTTTTATTGATTATTTCTTTATCATTTATTTCTTTTTCCATCCCTCTTCTAGAAGTCATTTGTTTTATTGCTGTGTGTAATTATCTGCAGTATTTATTAAGGAGTTATCGTAGGTTTTGGGAACCAATTCTAGGAATTACAGTGTATTCTGATGGAAGATTTGACAACTTTTGAATATTTGACAACTTTTTAGAGTGTTAGCCCTGCTAGCCAATACCAAATTCCCGCGAATTTAAATTTTTTCAAGTTCAAGATTTAAACCAACATACCAATATTTAACATAAGTACCAGTTAGATTAGTACAAGAGAAAATACCTATTTAGTGGCAGCAGCTTTTAATAAATATCCCTATGTGTTTATTAGACCAAAAAGGGTGAAAGATCAGCAGAAATGTTCCTGGTTCACTGGAAGACGAGAGCCCATCTCTTCCATCTCTGTTTTTATCTCAGAAAGTTTGTGTTTAGATTTAATCTGGTGGTCATTTTCCAGTTTCCACTGGCCTCACGAAGCCGTTTTCGTTTGTATCCTGATGGGAATATTTAACAACTTTTGAGTATTTTACAACTTTTTAGAGTGTTAGCCCTGCTGGCTGACACTTAATTCCCGGCTCAGCAGATTCCTCCTGCAGGAAAACAGCGTCCTGACCTCCTGAGACTGTTATTTGGATGTAAAAATGCCCTGTGTGAGTTACCGTAGGGCGCCCGGCCGGCCAGCGGGTTGAGAAGCGGGGTGGGGTTCGACCCTCCGTCCCTCCGGCTCCGGTCAGCTAACGCCGGGAAGTCCGACAGGTCCAGCCCCGTCACATTCTCGCTGCCGTCTGGAGGCAGAAGCGCGGGAAAACATGAGAGGAGAGCCATCGGGAGGCTGCCGTCGCCATGGCAACCGGGATGGAGGGGAGCCGGGCGGTGGCCGTACCTGTGCCGTTGAAGATGTTGCTGGATAACGAGTTGTTCATGTTGAAGCCTGGATTCCTGTTCACCCCAAACCCTGACATACTGACACACACACACACACACACACACACACACACACACACACAAACACACACACGGTTAACTGCTGTGCCTCTTCATCCTGTTTGTGGGGCACACAGAGGAAGACAAACAGCTCTAACCAGCTATGCTGTCATTACTCAGCCGACTCCACAGAAGTTATGATTTTTTACGGAGATGTAGAAAACGCAAACGGTTTTTGCTCCTTTTTAGAGTGTTTTTCTTCGATTTAATAAGCTAGGTACTATTTGAGATTTAAACTTTAGCAGCTGCATCAATGCTGTAACTAAGAGAGCTTTTTACACCTCAAAATTATCTCCAGAGCCACTTTTCTCCCGATAAGTGGCTATAGTATAATAATTATTATATTAATGATAATAATATAATTATAAATAAATGATATCATAATAAATAATAATATATATTTTTATTTTATATATTTATATATATAAAAATATAATAAATTATAAATAATAATAATATATTAATAATAATTAATAATAATAATAATTCCAGAGACGATTCTATGCAAAATAAACTATAAAGCGTTGTCAGTTTACAGACCACTTAATAATATGGGCCAGAATAGATCTTCTTGTAGATTATAAACCAGGCAGAAGTGGAATAAACTTCCTCCTGATGTAATTCAAAGATAAACTCAAAACTCTGCTGTATTCTCCTGCCTTTCTTTAGTCCAATTTCACTGAACTATTTCACCATGTTCTGTCCAATTGCACATTTAAATTTATTTTCTTTTCTTAATAAATTCGACCTACTTTTTACGCCTTTGTAAAGCCCTTTGACTCCTTTTGGCTCCGGTTCAGACTGTTAATGTTTTGACTAAAATGTGATCGGAGCTCCAATGGTATCATTTAGTTTGGAACCTTTTTGCTTTATTCCGATTTGCAGCCTTTGTTTGCTATGTCTGAACTTTCTCCTGCTTTTAGTGTTTAAATCATTATTTTTTTGTCTCCAATGCCCAGTTTCTGCATCACAGCTGTAGCTTGAAATAAGAATAATGTTTTATATTCTTTGTTTTGTCTCCTGAGCTTGACTGTGATGTTGAACCTAACTTTGCCACCTCACTTTCACTTTTAAAATACAAAGAGCTGATGTGAACCAGAACAAAAGTCCTCCTGAAACTCAGAGCAGGAAGCAGGAAGTGTGTGACCCACAAACACTGTCAACCAAAGCAGGTAGAAGAGGATGAGCACTAACACGTCAGCAAAGGTTCAAAAAGACATTTTGTTTTCAGTCTCAGTGTGAAAATGCTAGTTTTAGGCAGCTTGTTTGAATTTCAATTCATACTCAAAGTTCACAATTTTATAGCTGGTTTTAACCATTCAAATACTGTATTTTCCGCACTGTAAGGCGCCTAAAAGCCTTCAATTTTCTCATGGATCAGGATTGAGTTGAAACAGGTCTAACTAGCAACTACAGGAAGCAGCCGCCACTCTGTTTTACATCCAGCTCTTCCTCTTTTTCGTCCTTAAGGATAAAATAATCCCACACAACTGACATTTTTACCGATAGATTTACAATGACATGGCTATGTTAGGACAGAGCTGTTGGCTAGAGATGCTAATGCTAATGCTAATGGGTGTGCTGGAAAATGACCGGATTAGGGATGTCCCGATCCATCTTTTCGCTCTTCCGATCCGATCCCGGCCTATAAGAGCATGTGTTAAAGTTTAAATTTATTTATCTACTTACTTAGTTATCAGACTCATGTTGAACAGGGATTTACTCTGATAACAACTTAATGGTTAGGACACAGACCTGTGGTTACAGATGCTAATGCTAATGCTAATGCTCTGATAACAACTTAATGGTTAAGACACAGACCTGTGGTTACAGATGCTAATGCTAATGCTAATGCTCTGATAACAACTTAATGGTTAAGACACAGACCTGTGGTTACAGATGCTAATACTAATACTAATGCTCGTGGGGGATATCAGACTTAAAAAAAAACTGGAGATGCATTTTCCTCTGCCGGCCGATCCGATTCGATCCAGATATCGGATCGAGCCCGACTAGTCCAGAAGCTTTTAAAGCTGTTTTGGGGGGGATTTTAAAGCAGTTTTTGTGGTTTTTAAAGCCATTTGTTGGGGTTTTAAACTGTCTTAAAGCTTTTAAAGCTGTTTAGGGGGATTTAAAACCTTTTTCTGTGGCTTTTAAAACTGTTTTTTGGGGCTTTTAACGCTGGTTTTGGCGCTTTAAAACTATTTTGGGGGATTTTAAAGCTGTTTGGGGCTTTAAACGAGTAGCCTGGATCTGCCTTTTCTCCTGCCGGCCGATGGGCTCCAGATCTGGGACCTGGACCGGCCTGGAGAGTGTTACCTGTTGATGGTGAAGGGCTGCCGCGCCTGCTGCTGCTTGGGCATGCCGATGATGCTGGGCGACGACCGGCTGGGGCTCCCCATGCCCCCGCTGCGTCCTGCCCCCCCCGCCCCGCTCTCCTCCGACCCCCATCCCGCCCGTCTGCCCCGTGGGGCCGCCCACCTGCTGGTTGTGGTTCAGCACGCTCCGGCTGCTCATGGGCAGGATGCTCCTGCAAGGACACCAGAGAGGGTTAAAGTCCGGGTTTCATAAGGTGAGGAGGCAGAGGAAATTGAGAAACTGAAAGGTTTTTTTTACAGTTTAGTGTTTAATTTGGTCATTGTGTGTCAATTTTTTG